GAGGGGGCCGGTCAGGGCTGGATTTTCAGGAATTGTGCCGGGACAAACACTCGGCTTCAGCTGGAGCTGCGGCCAGAGGGGAAATGGGGAGGGGGGAGGCAGGATTGGGAAATGAAGCCCCAAAAGGATGAGTCGGTCCCAAAGGCTGAACCAACCCCAAAAGGATGAGTCGGTCCCAAAAGCTGAACCAACCCCAAAAACAGAACCTGCCCCAAATTCCTGGACCAGCCTCAAAAGTTGAACCTGCCCCAAAAGCCTGAATTGGTCCCAAAAGGCTGAATTGGTCCCAGGACTTGAACCAGCCCTAAATTCCTGAACCTGCCCCAAAAGGCTGAGTCGGTCCCAAAAGCTGAACCAACCCCAAGACCTGAACCTGCCCCAAAACCAGAACCTGCCCCAAATTACTGGACCAGCCCCCAAAAGCTGAACCTGCCTCAAAACCTCAACTGACCTCAAAAACCCGAAAAAGGCCCAGAAGCTGAACCAGCCCCAAAAGGCTGAATTGATCCCAAAACCTGAACCTGCCCCAGATTTCTGGATCAACCTCAAAAGGCTGAAAAAACCCCAAACCTGAACCTGCCCCAAAAGGCTGAATTGGGCCCAAAACCCGAACCAGCCCGAAAACCATTCTTGCCATTCCCCTCCCTCCTCCCAAAAAGCCCCAACCCCCCCTCCCAGCAGGTGATGTCAGGACACCCCAAAAGTCCCAAACAGGAAACAAAGCCCAGCCCTGCCCCCCCCACACACCCCAAAGGACTCTGAGGCAAAAATTTGGGAGGTCAAAATGAGGCCAAATTGGAGCTGGTCGGACTAATGGCCCTGTTCCTAACGAGGAGCTGCCCTAATTAGGGCCGGGGTTCCTAAAGTTCACCCCAAACCAGCCCTTGGCGGGGAAAAACACGGCCCTGCTGCCCCCCCCGGGGATTTTTGGGGTGCAGGAGGCAGAGCTTGGCACGTTTTGGGGGGCAGGGGCAGCCAGCTCTGCCCTGAGGGGGGGGTTGGGTGGGTTTGGGGAGGATTTGGGGTCTGAGGTTTTTGGGGTGGGGCAGTGACCCCAAAACCCGCCAGGGCTGGGGCACAGGCTCGGGTGAGGTCCCTGGGGATGCTCTGGGGGGTCCTGGGTTTGGTTCTGATTGGAGGGCAGAGCCCCAGGGGGTGATCCCAAAAGGTTGAATTGGTCCCAAAAGGTTGAATTGGTCCCAAAAGCTGAACCAGCCCCAAAACCTCAACCCCCCTCCTCAAGACCTGACCCAGCCCCAAATTCCTGACCCAGCCCCAAAGCCGCCCCCATCCCTGTGACGGTGGGAAGGGCCGGACGAGCCTCAGGGGCGTTCTCGGCCCCCCCAAAAAACCCGCGGAAAATCCATCGGGAATCAGCCCGGAGTGACCCCAACTGGGAGCAGCCACTGGAACCAGTTCTCCCAGTGCCGCCGGACTGGTGGCCGTCCCGGTGCTGCCACCTGGCGCTGTTTTCCTTGGAATTCCATCCCAAACCACCCCCCCACCCCCAATCCTGGAGCCGCTCCGGGCACATGGGATTTTTGGGGGGGGATATCTCCAAATATTCCCCTCCAACGATGGGATTTTCATATCCAAATACTGGATTTTTCGGGGGGGGAATTTCATCTCCTCCAGGGGTTCACACCCAGCCACCGGATGGTTCCAGACAGCGAATGCAGCCTTTTATTTCCCGAGGAATGTCTGCAATTCCAGCCGCGTGGCAGCAGCTCCCTGCTCATCCAGAGGGAGGATCCCACGCTCCCTGAGACCCCTCTGGATGATCCCTGAGATCCCCGGGTCCAATCCCTGTATTCAATCCCTGTTATCCCTGTTATCCCCATTCTCCATCCCTGTATCCCATTCCCTATATCCCATCCCCGTTATCCCTGTTTTCCATCCCTGTTATCCCCATTTCCCATCCCTGTATCCCAATCCCTGCATCCCATCCCCATTATCCCTCTGTCCCATCCCTGTTTCCCATCCCTGTATCCCAATCCCTGTATCCCATCCCCATTATCCCTGTTTCCCATCCCTGTATCCCATCCCTGTTATCCCTGTTATCCCTGTTATCCCATCCCCATTATCCCTCTGTCCAATCCCTGTTTCCCATCCCTGTATCCCATCCCCATTATCCCCATTATCCCTGTTTCCCATCCCTGTTTCCCATCCCTATATCCCAATTCCCCACTATCCCTGTCCCACCTCCTCCCTCCCTCCATTCCCAACCCCCTTTTCCCACCCAAACCCCCCTTTCCCGGCTGCCTCTCACCAACATTCCCACTCCTCCCTCTCTCTCCCAGCATTCCCACATCTCCAACGGCCACAACCCGAGAGCCACCGTCGGGAAAAGCCCCTGGAAGCGGAAGAATCCCGGGCAGGAGGGTCGGGAGGGCTCTAAATGACGGGGTAGGAGGCGTAGCTGGCGATGCCGCAGCGGTTGGAAGCGTTCCGGGCCATCCGGATGTATCCCGAGTCTCCAAACCACACCCCCCAGCTCCGGGAACGGGCGAGGAACACATGGAAAAAAACTCAATTCCCACTTTTTATCCCGGGGGGATTCACCCAAGGAGGAAGGGGGGAGGGGGGGTCGGGAAGGAGGGAGGGGTGGAGAGTTGGGATGGGGTTGTGGGATCGTGGGATGGGGTTGTGGGATTGTGGGATGGGGTTGTGGAATGGGGTTATGGGATCGTGGGATGGGGTTATGGGATCATGGGATGGGGTTATGGGATCGTGGGATGGGGTTATGGGATCATGGGATGGGGTTATGGGATTGTGGGATGGGGTTATGGGATCGTGGGATGGGGTTGTGGGATCATGGAATGGGTCAATGGAATCATGGAACGGGTTATGGAATCATGGAAGAGGTTATGGGATCATGGAATGGGGTTGTGGAGTTATGGAATGGGTTATGGAACAGGGAATTGTGGCCCTGGAAGTGCCACATCCAGGCGGGTCTGGGCAATTCCAGGCGGAAAATCATGGAATTACGGAAGGGCTTGGATCGAGAGGGATGTTATGGATCAACATCCCAACCCCCTGAGTGTTCCAAGAGCTCAAGGAGCACCTGAGGGATGGGGGGAGGGAATTTTGGGGGGGGTGCCCAGGGCTGGGAATGGGACTCTGCTCCCTGTGGGTCCCTCCCAGCCGGGAATATTCCGGGATTGCCCCGTGGACTCACCTGTTCTTCACCAGCCAGTATTCCTTGTTGTCCAGGGATCCGTATCCCACCACCAGCACCCCGTGGTTCACCTCCTGCGTGC